GCTTTTGGAATTCATGGGTATGGAGAACTTTGAAAATTAAGGCCAAATGTTGGCTCCTTTTTTTCCTTCTTATATCTAAGAAAGATTGGAATTCCAGTTTGTTGGACGACACTAAATCGTCAGCTTTAATAGTTAATGTCCAAGTTACTGGTACTCTACAGCTGGTAATGGTTTATCTACCATGAAATGGTGCTTAACTGCAAACAGCTGTGCAGGAAATGACAGCCTACTGAAACAACAACCATAAAATATTTTTGGCCAGTCAGCTTCCAATTATAAGTGAAAATCTTATTTATTTTATGTATTTTCTTCTCCTTTAGTGGCACTAGAGGCCCTAATTAGGATTCAAGACCCCGTTCTTTTAACTCAGTGGTCCTCAGCCATTTCTATATCAGTCACGCTTTAGGGTACTTGCTCCGGACGGTGCCAGGGTGGCGTGACCTCCCTCTTAGCTATCTGCCATCCCAGGCTTAAGGTTCTCCATGGTAGTCACTGAGGGTGCCTGCAGTGACAGAAAACCCTTTTCCCATAAAATCAATAAAGGTGAACAAATAACAAGATATAAGAAAGAAGGAAAAATAAATAGAAGCCCAGTGAGTATGAGATATGGTGAAAACTCCTGCGAGTCTCTGTCATTAGCCAGAGGTTATCCCCTCCCGGTGTCATGGCGCAGGAGAGCTCCCTGCCCCACAGCGTGCAAAGGCATGGCACCTTTCACGCTGTCACTTCTTTTCCCTCATGAGTATCGTTAAATCCATTTTAAAGAGTAAAAGCGCATAGCATTGTATATCAGCTTCTCCTATTAGTTTTAGCGTCGAAGAAGTATACAGCATCACTGTATCCAGGTGTGCTGCTTTCACAGCGGAGCCATTTTTAATTAACTCAGGGAGTTTTTATTAGGAGAACAAAGGCAATAAAATCAAACGTTTGGAGACACTGAAGGGAGGAAGGTTCACTTTTCCAACCTAGGGTAGAGGGAAGCTCCAGGAGATATTTTATTGCTAACTGTACCTCAAGGAGAAAGGGAAAATTTTTCAAATTATTGAGGGTTGTATAAAGTGATAAGCTAATCTCAGCATTTCTCTTTCTATTGAGAGATATTTTATGATAGAAAGATGGAAATGAATTTTAATTAAAACCATTGGTTTAATTTTAAAGTATTTTATACATTGGACACCCAGTAACTTCTCGTACTATAAAATCATTAAGAGACTCCAGCATATGGATTATTAGGTTATTTCTCATCCTTCGTCAGAAGAAAAGAAAGGTATACAAGTGTAGGGACTACAGGACAAGACTGAAGTCAGGAGACCTGCTTTTAGCCTGCAGGAGGCTTGGCTTTTACTTTTCCTCTGACTTATGTGTTCGCAATAAATGTGCCTGATTTTGGGGTCCTAATTCACAATCTCTAATGAAAGTATCCCTGAAAATAGACCCATTAAGTTAATAAAACCAGTAATGGAATAATTTCTGCTCATTTTAGGACTTATCTGTATCTAATTTAACTGCTTCTAATTTGGATATACTAATAATACTCAAAGAGTGTAATACGAGAGTTTTAAGATATTTATGAAATGCTTTATGATTCTTAAATGAAATGCACTGTGTATTGTGTAGAGGCTGGAAAGAATTTCTTGCTCACCTGGATGAGCTCAGAAAATTTTTTTTGTGGTCTATGAAATCTAATACCATTTCTTACTTTTGTGTGGAAAGCTATGGCTTTTGTTTTGTTTTGTTTTTGACAGAAGATTCTTCGTTTTTCCAAAAGAGATAAAAACTACTGATATAGACAAAGACCTGCATTTAACATATGTGGACATATTTTACTTGAAAGCATGGAAAAACGGCTTTTGGTAATACACAGTGCTTCTATTTGAGGCTAACTAAAGATTTTATGTCTTTTTGCAGAATCTGTTGTGCGTGTTCTATAAAATAATGTTCGTAACAGATTGCAGTGGTATTAGAAACAATTACTTTCATGAGCTGAGAACAAAGGTAGCCCTCAGACTCTTACAGGAAGAATTCACTATCTTCTCTTCTTTTAAATATTTACAGGCAGCAAGAACATTTCAAGTTAAGTGCTTGTTAAAGGGGAAAAAAATAAACAGATCGTTTTAGCCAAATTCCAGTGAGAATTACTATATTTTTATGCGTACAATCTGTATCTCAGATAACTCTTATTGCTTCAAAAGGATCTGAAGTTGGAAGTCGGTCTTCAGATAAACTGCACAAAGTCAGAGTCCGGGGAACTGCTGAGGTGGAGGAATAGAACTGGGAGAGAGTGGTTCAAGGGTAAACTTCCCTCTTATTAATACATATGTATCAACCTTAGCATTACAGGTTGGAAAGAGCTTGTTTTTACAGATTACCAATGGTTTTAAATGTGGAAATATAGCATTTATTGTTCTTTTGGAGCAATTGGAATATTCAGATTTTATGTTTGCCACAAAAAGTATTTAAAAACACTGCCATTTGCATGGGGACTGTGCTTGACCACTATGTGAAGAATAGACTTTGGCAAAAGAGTGGACACAAGGAGGATTTTGCCTCTGGATATGTTTCATGTTTTCCCACTAATGGGCCTCACTTTAAATAAGCATGGTTAGCATGGCGCATACTTCATTTTGGTGATCTGATATTTATCTCATATAACTTTGAATTGAAACGGTATTATTTTGAAGTCTCTGGAGCTGGGAGTATCAGTTCCTCAGCCAGCCTGACATGGGGCTGTGGTGACTGAGCTGGGTGTCCCCACCGAAGGAGCTGGCTGAATTATCAGTAGAAGACCTGGGAGACCTTTGGTCCTCCTGATTTTAAAGGCTTGGTGTTGTGTCTGAAAAAATGGGATTAGTTATCTAAAACGGGCTTGGTTTCGTACTACCTGTTCTTAGGAACGCAATCTTGGTTTGTGATAATGTAACAACTGAAGCACTGGAAAATTGTGTTTGTTCCATTTGATGTTGTATAGACTTTGCATTGCAATATCAAGTATCCGTTCCGATGGTTTATTGGTTGATAGAGCATCAGAGAGCCTTCACTCATACTTATTTCTGTCTGGAATATGGTTAGATAACCTCAGGGCTATACTTCCAATTAGTACTACTCAGATTTTAGAAAAAGATGTAGATATAGCACTGTGTACTCTAGCAGGGAGACTTTCTTAAGTGTATTTTTGCCTCATTGAGGAGTAGTTAATCTGTGATGCAAGATCTGCACAGAATAGATTATCCTATCTAGGATTTTATCTAGAAGATTAAACATGGTTGCCTTCAGCTCATGTGCTGTCCCTCATAAATTTTTTTTTTCTTCACAACAGCTTATTTTTAGCTGCTTAAATGAATCTCTTTACTCCTATTACAGAAGTTGTAGTGGGATGCTTTTTGCCCCTCACTAATGATTTCTGTAAACCCTAGAAAGTTGTTTGGAGAGTTTCCATGGACAGCATGCTTTATTAAGATTCGTTATTCAGAGTCAAGAAAAGAAAAGGAACACACATTATGAGAAGAACCTAAGAAGCGGGGGGGGGAAAAAGTAGAAATAGGGCCCCAGTGTGCCTGAACAATTCATAGTCTGCAAAATGGTACTACGTATCCCACGTAGAAATGAGATATGAGAAATGAAGTAGATGTATCGCCTGTTTGAAGGTGGGAGGATCAAGTACAAAATACACTGTCATGTGATACTCTTAGAAAATTTCTGCAGCATTGCCTAGGAAACACATATCCAGTTTGTACTTGGCAGCCTACGCATCTCATGATTCTGAGTAACTGCTAGTGTCTCAGGAAAGCCCCTGGGACCGTCGGTAGCTAATGCGCGTTTTTTGTGTCATGCGATCTCAGTGCTCAGAACGGCCAGGTTTTTACACAGAAATGCTTTTGCAAGCATAGGTTGCAAAACCCTTGTACTGTTGTGTCGCTGCTTCCTCAGCAGAGTCTCGGTTCAAACTTATGCTTTGCACCTTGCTTCCTGCCTTGCATGTACCCAATGCATCAAGTGACTGCTGGCAAGGATTAGTTCTTTACTTGAAATGATACCTTTTGATGCTCCACGTAGGATGTTAACGTAACTACTTTGTTACTTTTCCCAAGAATTTTATTTTCACACATTCCTCTATGTGTTTTCCCAAGGAACTCATAAAACAAGTGGTTCTCCAGATTTCCCGTATTGATCAAGCATGATAATTTCCTTGCACGGGAGCCTGCATGGGGTTGCAACTGCCTTCTGTAGCACTGCTTTGCAGTGCAAGCCTATGGGCTGTTTCTCAAAATCGTTCAGGATAACTTCCAAACTTGCCTGTGGCATGTTTTGACCACTATCATGCTTTCACAGTACTCTTCTTTGTTCAGCAATATATATGGCAGATGCCACATGCTTTGAATTAGTTTAGGGGTTATTGTCTTCTTAAAAGGGATGAAATTGCAAACATAACTTTGTATTTCTCAACAGTAAAGGATGAGGTAAGACTGAAGGATAGATTACATAGATAAGCCCCGAATTTTTAAATGTTGACTTCAGAATGGTGATAGGTGAGGGGATTTCTTTAGGTACGGTCCATAAAACACATTCTACATCTTTTAGATTTATCACTTCTCCCCCTTATAGTGGGATAAGAAACTCACTTTCCATATAACAAAGCAGATCTTTTAGGCTGCTGGTTTGGGCCCAGAGCATGTGTCGGTCGCTTGTATTGGGACCTGCTTTCCACATACTCTGAGTTACAGGTACTTGTGCATCCCCGTGGTGTTGGCTGTAGGTGCTGGATAGACAAAGTGTATCTTGGACAAATAAAGAAATTTGGGAGTCTCCACGGTATTCCACAGCAATCACTGATGTGATTTCTTTCTCTAGGAGATAGGTGGGACACTGTAGGTCGTCAGAACTGTGTTGAACTCAATGGGGTGAATGTGATGGAACCAAAATTTTGTTTGAATGTGAGAAAAGAGGATTCCTGGATATCCAATTTTAACAATAGAAACTGTTTTTTCATTCTGTCTCTTTAGATCTCCAAAAGGTGATGTCCATAGTGAAGGATATATCTTGGAGGTAGAGTGCTGCTCCTCTTTAAACCAACTTTCAGACAAAAAGGAGATACCTGATTTTATTAAGAAAGTAAGTAAAAAAAGCAACTTAAAAAAATACAGTATGCCTTTATTTGCACTATAATTACTGCTGCTAGTTTTGTCAGTGTGTCAGTAGGAATATGTGTACATTTTGTGCACTTGGAAACCTCACTAGAATCTGGTGTTCTTTTGTGATTTTAAGTATCCGAATACTTAATCCGAGCAATTATAGTTACCAGAAAAACAAGTTATTAATCATATTATTATAAGAAAATGATTTGTCGTATCACAGGAGAGTAACCTATCACAGGTGATAATCAACTGATTTACCAGTGTGGAAGATAATTCTGTAATGGTGTAAATATTTTAAGCTGAAATAATATATATTATTTCCATTTTAATATCAAAATATCCTGCTGATTAGTAGTGTAGCTAAAATGCCTATTAACTCCCAGAATCCCCCAGGTTATTAAAGTTTGATTTTAGTATCACGTGAAGTTAGCATCCAGAATGGTATTGGTTTCAACAAACTTTTATATGTATTTTGGAGAATTTGAAGATAACCCTGCAATTCTTTATTTGTCTTTATTTATTGCCTTCTTTTTAATATTATTTTTGATAATGTAATATTCTGCCAGACTGGAAACAAGTATGTTATGTCGATATTAGAGAAGGCAAGTTCTTTGTTCATATTTCAAAATCTGCTTGTGTCCTATTACCCATTATAAAACCCAGCAGTACTATGTTTACATAGCCACATGTTGTGAGAGTACTGTGAGTAGGTATACTCCCCTAGCTTTAGTCCAGCAGTGATAATTGTAAAGAAAATTTTGCAGAGTAAACTTCAGCACAGGCTATATGAATTTGCTAAGGACTCAGCTTGCCAGCTGCATGGATGTCCGATCCTTCTTTTTACTGCTGATTGTACAAACTCGATTAAAGATAATGCAGATGTGACTATCTGATCATCATCATACGTAGAGATATAACTGAACTTTTCCAAACACTTTCTACTTTTGGAAATCTTTTTGAGTATTTTTGAATCTGCATTAGACTGTTGTTTCTTGAGTTTATTGTTATTATACTTTTATTCTCACAGGATTATTTCAATCTACTCACACTTAGGTAAAACTGGAGTTATGCTTGTGTATGAGTTTCCACATGTGTAACTTGGTTCTTCAGTTCTTTGAGCTTATCTGTCACAACTGGTAGTAAAATTTTACATCATTCTAACAGAAGATTTCTTTGCATTTGTATCTTCAGAGAGAGTATGGCTAGCATGAAACAAAATGATGATCCAGGAGTCAACCTATTTCCATAAATATTCAATTCTGGAACTCTTTAGAATGCTTTTCTAGACGTAGAAATCTTTCTGTTGGTAGGAGCCATTGGATTATTGGGTTATAAAGGTGCCGTTTTGAAATATAATCATTTAAATATTAATAGCTAAAAATGTATATTTACTGGTTCTCTGCAGGTTGAGAATGTCACTCATCCTCAGATGTTATTTGATGTAGAGGAATTTGAAGTTCTTGAACAGTTCTTTGAAGCTGTTGCTGTCAAGTGTGTGCAGTGTCACTGTCTAGATGTGATTAAAGACACTGTGAAAGTCTCAATACTTTTATGTAAATCTAACTCACGAAACAGGATTTGTTTGGGAGTAGGAACTAATTTCACATTAACTAATTTGTCAGAGCAACAAAAATGTCCGTTGCTTTTAAGGGCAAATAAAACAAGTTTACAAACAAAATGAAAAATAGGGGAAGTTCTTCAAAGAAAGTAGGAGTGAAAAGCTGTTAGGGCAATTGCTCACTTTCAAAAAAGAACAACCCTATAATTCTTCTCAAACTGTGGAATACAGCTGAAGTCAATGGTGTTGTAACTGAGTAGTCAAACACTTGATCACGGAGCTTTTCGTTAGAAAGGCTTTTAACCATCTTACCGATCTAAAGGTTTACCATCTTACTACATTGCAATTTACTATATTTTTAAAAAGGTACTAAGTATGACACCCATATTTTCTAAATAAACTTACAAGTCAAAATTTTCTCCAATTATGAGTTTGCTAGAAAAACATCCTCTGATGTTGCTAGAAAAACATCCCCTGAGAAAATGAATGTTACTAATATTATTATGGATGGCTGAGCAAGTATCATTAACATGGAATTTGAACAAGGATACAATTTTGATAGCTGCTTTTCTCAGATGACTTTTTGCTGCATTGCAAATGGTGTATGTCATGTTGAATATTAACTGCTTGCTCCTGGCAAACACAACAAAAATTTGCAGTGGCACAGGTGATCGCTCTTTTCCTCTTCTGTAGCTACATATAAATGTTTAAGAGTAATAAGGTGGAAAACAAGAAGTTATTTCACCTAGAGAAGCAAAGTGCCAGAATACTATCTTGATTATAAAACATTTAAAAAATGCCAAAGAAGGCCCTTCACTCAAATCTGTATTCTGTTGCTGAGAACCTACTGTGCTTGGGGCCTCTGTCCTAATTCTCTACTCTTTTCTGTACGTTTTGCCTACTGTTATGGTTTCTGACTGTGACAAGAGCCGTGGAAGACAGGAGACAGTAAAGTACTGGGGACAAAATGATGCTCTTCCTGCACCTTAAAATCATGTTTGCGTAACTGTTTACTGTTTGTTCATTCAAATCAACGTCGTTCTAGTTTTGGGAGTGACTTGCTGCTCCGCGTGTCCTAAAGAGCTCATTCAGTTTCATGGTTGATTTCTTACGTAAACTCTCTAGCAAAGGAAGAAATAACTTAACTATTGCATATGTACATTGATGCTGAATTGGTATTAGCACTCCTTTCTTTTGCTCTTGTGCAAAACACACAGAGATTAAAGATTTGCTCCTCTCCTTTTAAAGCTAAACTTCTGAACTTGTAATCACTGTGGCTGAGGTGATTCTGAAGTGGTTACAAGTCATCAATGTTCCTTCTAAGATTTCATATTTTGATTAGTGTCTCATGTAAAATAAGAGACTTTAGTTACTTCCTTAGTTGCTTTCTGTTTCAGTATGTTCTGTTATCTTTTTTCATCTGAGAATGTTCTCCCGAATCTGCTGAGACAGGAGAATCTGCTGAAAGGAGAAGGCAGGCTGACATCCCAAGGAAGGAGTTATTTTGCATATGTAGCATATGTGAGTGCCGAATATGTTTCTCACGACCTTTGCTTTTCACATCAATCCCAATTACATTCTCTAGAATTGCTATAACAAGCAGGAGACTTTTATTCTTATGTTCATGTCTTTGGGATGTTAATGAAAGGTTAGGAAGTGGAGGATAGTTTCTGTACGGTTTCTGCCCAGTTCTGACTTGCTAAAATTTACGAAGCACATTTTTTTATCCTTTTTTGCCTGGGCTAATAACGCTCTGTCAGAAGGAAATTTTTGTATCTTAAATTGTTTCAGTTTAATGCCCCTGCAAAGTTAATATTTCTTGTCCCTATGGACTCATTCTCCTTCCTGAGGGAAGTGTAATAAGCAGAGGAAAGTGTGGTTTAAAAATCCTGTTTCTTGACTGAAACCCAAATGCAGTCATCTTCCCTCTGTGTTTGTGACGAGAGAGGGACCTTTCCCTGTTGTTTTGTCCTTACTTTGCATGACTCAGAAATGAGACTAATTTCTTCCAACAAATTGGAGGCCGTACAGATGGATAATGGGTTGTATGTTTTCAAAAGTGGAGCAGTTCACTTGGAATATGATTCCTGTATTAAAACACCTATGTAATGCTTATCTTGTAGCTAAATCTGTCCTATGAGACAGTTTGTCTAATCTGCTCATTGCTGTTTCCTGTATGCACAGCATTGGGGAACTTCAGTGAACGTACATTGGCCGTCTCCATTACTAGCTCAAGAGCTACTGATAACATGTCACTCTGCTAAGTGGCCCTCTGCACAACTTACATAGTCCAAATTACCCTAGATATACTCTTGAATCCTGCAGATATAATGACTTTGTCCATAAATTAGTTGACATTTATTTTCTCCTAATAGCATTGCTGGGCTAAGGAACTGATGATAACTCTCAGACTAAACTGAGTGGGTCTTCAGGAAGGAATGTGCCAACCAAGCACATTGCAAACAAACTGTACCAATTTACTTATTCTAGGAGTTGGCATCTGAAACAGCGACCATTCAGTTCTTCCTGGTACAAAGGCAAGTTACCTCAAATTAAAGGGTGAGTAGGAGATCGGACTATTTTGAAAGCAAGGCCAACTTTGTAAGGAGTTACTGATTAATATACATTACTACTGAGACTTTTAAACCTCTGTTGAGCGTAATCACTGTATTGGGAAAGGTAATGTTTTTTTGAGTGGCTCCTTGCTCCTGTCCTTTATCTGCCTTTGTAGGAAATGGCAGAAAGGAGACTGGCTAAACAGTTGTGTAAAGAACTGCTACAAGGTCCAGACAACCCAAGGTGGATCTGACTGCATGTTACTCCATATCTAAGTTTTGTCAAACTACCCAGATACTTCTTCCCCTACTCCTATGTTTTCCCCTCCGTTCATCTGTAGCTATTTGGCTGTTATCAAGATAACTCTTCATGTGCCTCTCTCTCATGAGAGTCATCTGGAGGTACCTCACAGCTGCATCTCTAATTGGTGAAGAGTGTTAGCATTGCTGCTCAAAGAAAAGTTAATTCTGCAACTTCTCTGAGCTGCTAGGGAGGAGCAAGGCTGGAGTACTTAGAAGGATCTCTGTTTCTCCCATAAAATAGATGTAAAATGCCGATATGGATTCCAAAACATCAAGAGCTTTTTAGATCTTTTCCATAGATGTTCCTGGTCAGGGGAATGATTCAGCTCAGGTTTGGCGTTTAACTTATTTGCTTCATGTTTACTAGCATCAGAATGAGCATTTGTTTTATATGGTCAAAACAAGGCATTTTCACATATCCACATAGTGTGTGAAAGTGATGTTAAATGATTTTGTACTCTCAACTTCTGAATTTTAAAACTCTCTTCAGCATCCAACTTGTGAAAAGGCAAGAAGATGTGGAAGACTTGAAATGTGTCATAGTGCAAATATGTCCGTAAC